TCCTTACTGCTCCGAGTTCAAAGATATGACTAACGCCGTTGCGTGTGCTGCGGATGATCTGCCAAATGACAGTCTAGAGTAGCTATTTTTACTTCGGTGACATTCTATCATCCGTCATCGTACTCGTGCGTTCATCATCGAGCTAGACGTGCACGACGGCGCTATCTACGTTGTCCTGGGGGCGGGGAACATCGCTTGCACCGCTGAGGGCCTGATCAGCTTTTGTATCAGTTTCCGCCGTCCTGTCAGATTGGCTGGAGGGTTCTCCGGAGCTCGCTCCCAGTATCAAGATCAAAGCCTTCGACCATGTGCCAGTTGTGGGGGATATGGCCGTATTTGCAGATGATGCGCTCAAGATTAGAGTGCTCCCAGAAGGCGCGGCGTCTTCCGCGCTGGTGTTGATGGCCCGCGACAGTGCGTTTGTCGACGACTCGATGGCAGTGGGAGGCAAAGCGCAACATGCCTGTGAGCGAGTGGTTGTTCCCACTCTCCGGAACAAAAGGTCAGTGCAATCAGCTTGCAGACATGGTTCGCGATGGCATTGTTGACCCTGGCGTGCGTCATCTCAGCTCGGGGGGCAGTGTTCCTGGGATCTCAACAACGGTCCCGAGCTCCAAATACGACTCGCGGCTTTTGACACGCGCTGTATGGAGCCGGAGAGTTTCTGGACGAGTTCAGCCCCACTAGATGTGATGCGCACGGTGTTCGCCGCAGATGCTGTGGGGGCAGCGATGGCGGTTCTCGCGTCTTCTGCCTTTAGTGGCGCTGAATATCATCGCCTCGATGTCCGCGTCGCTGAGTGCCCCAGGGAATGCAATCGGGGGAAGGCGTGCGATGAGGGGGGGGGGGGGGGGGGGGGGGGCGAAAACGTAGTTGGGGCGCCCGCAAAATATTCTTCGTCTCGTCTACTGCCCTCTTCGCTTGGAGAGGCTTTTCGGCTATTGCGCTGGCCGCGGGATATGGTCCGGCGCCCTGGCAGGCATAGGCTAGCGATGGCGTCGATGTTCGGCGCGATGGCGATCGGCATGCGCGACGACGACGGCGCGTCCTTTGGGCGCTTGATGCTCGACGCAACTGGCCATGTCACAGAGTTGCGTTTTTCGGGCGGGCGTTCGACGCCGCGATCGCGACCACCGAACTCATCATGAACGCAGAGAGTTTCGTCGTGGTCAGGGAGTGCGCCAGGCGGTCGTGGAGGGCTGTTGTTGAGGGTGCTGATGTTCGCGGTGCTCTTATCCGGGTCGACGTCGCAGTTGTGCGGCAGGCACTCGGGGTTCGTGATTCCCCGGTGGCGTGGCAGGCATCCAAGTCAAAGATGGACTTGCGCGAGGCCCCGCCTGCGCACCGTCGCGGGCAGCGCGATGGCAAGGGGTCTCCGTGCCAGGCGAAGTCCACCACTGAGCGCGCGCGTTTATGCCGCGAAGTGCGGGAGAGGGGGGGGGGGCGCCCGCGGGCAGAGAGAGACCCAGCGCTCGTGTTCCATCGAGGAGTCGGCTCTTCAGCGCGTCAGGGGGGCTGGGGAAAACGGGCGTTGCCGCGTCGACGGGGCCCAGATCAAATGGGAAGTCGATCATATCTTCCATATCTTGCCGGAGTTGCGCGGCGGAGTTCGAGGGGTTCATTTTGTTGCAAGGCGCGCGTGCGCGACATTTTGCGCATGCTACTCCTGTGCGTCTGCCTCGGTGTTCCCGCCATGCTGTTGGAGATGTCGGGGGCAGCCGCAGGAGACATCGAGGAACCTGGCGCCGAGTTCGCGACGGGGGGCGACGCCGAGAAGAAACGGCAGCAGGGCAACGCTTCCAGCGGCATGAAAGGATTGGCCATCCCTCTGCTCAGGGGGGCCTTCGCGTCGCCCAGGCGGGGCGCGAGATGGCGGGCGTCGTGGTGGGCGCGTTCCTCGGCCCTGTTGCGAGCGACGCATTTGCGGCGATCTCGTCGCAGACGACGGCTTGCGCCGACTTGGCGAAGAATGAGGGCAAGGGCCGCCGGGGGGGGCCCCCCAGAAACCTTGTATTCATGGGGCTGTGCGAGATCGCGCCGCTGTGCAAGGGGCTGAAGGCGCGCGTTTGCGATCGGCGCCGCCTGGGCCTTTGCTCGGCGGAGGGCCGCCGGGAGTTTCGAGCCGCCCTGGCGTCGGGGCTCGCCCGGCTGGGGTAAGAGGCAATGTGGAGAGAGAAATGCAAGAGTGGCTCGACACCGTAATCAAGTGAACCTGGCGGTTGCTGCCCTCCTGGCCCGGCGCGGCGTGGGCCCGCGCGGCGCTCCGTGGAATCAGCTTTTCTCCCTTGTTCATATTCGACGCCTGGCGCTTGAGAAGGCCGACGAATAATGCGTGCACTCTTAGCCGGCGGGATCATGCGTCTCCCGTTGGGGGGCCCTTCGCAGGCCCCCGTGTCGGCGCCGTGTCGGCCCCGCGCCCGCGCGGCGACTTGGGCGGGGCTTCCAGGGGGGAACTTTCGTGCGCCGATCCAGCAGGGCGCTGTCTGGGTCTGCTGATCCGGCCGGCGCTTGTCCGTGACGTGTTTTAGCGGCATTGCGCGAGCTACTGGCAGCGGAGAGGCAAGGATCGACTCGGCGCCATGATGATGAAACGAGTGCAAGGATGCCTGCTGAGACCCAGTACCAAAGACGCCATGTTGCTCTTCGGTAGCCACAGCCCCTGACACGAACCAGCGCTCGCCAGGCCGTGGCGTGCCCACGGCGACCCAACTGGCAGGTGACACGGCCCTCGACGGGAAACATTCGCAATGCCCCCAGTGCGCGCGCGCCTCTCCCAGCGGGCAATCCGAGTGCGCGTTGCTGCCGCAGCCCCAGGCGCGATGGAAGATGCTTTCCTTTTTCTCTCTGCACCTCGGGCGTTGCTGGCCCATCGCGACGTCTTTCGCCGCTGCCGCCCCCGCGCGCCGAACGCGTGGCCGCGAAGCTCCTGCAGCGATGGCGATGAGCAGGTCGATCGACTCCGCCTTCCATGTTCCGCCGCAGTCGTGCGCCGCCGCGTCGCGCTAAAGCATTCGCGAGATGGAGTTCTGGTCATCTTGATCAAGAGACTGGGGCCGTCGGCCGCTGGCCACCCCGCCCGCGGGCTGCCGGGGAAGTGCCGCTCGATGGCCTCTCCCTCGGGCGTCGCGGCGGGGAGGGCCCAGTGGGCAGCGGCGACTGGGCCCAATCCGCGAGATAGGGGAAAATCGATCATCGAAGGAACTGGTGCTGGTATGTGCCGCGTGCGCTGCCCTAGACGCGCGCCTCGCAGCCGCGCCGGCGCCGCGGGAGCTCTGGCCGCCAGCGGCGTCGCGAGGCGCCGGCCTCGCGGAGGCGCCGCGAGGCGCGCGCCGAGCCGCAGTCGGAAAGTCTGCATGTGCACGCCGAAGGCCCCATGCATCTGAATGGCGCAAGCACTCGCTGATTGGGCCCCCGAGCGCTCCAGCGTGGAGGTAGCTGCGTATTGCGGCATTGCAGCCGTGCGCCGCCTCACTTTGTTGCGCGCGCTGTTGCGCTGGCCAAAGCGCTTGCGCCGCGCGGCCCGATCGCGCCGCCCTCCGCCGTAAGGTCAGTGCCTCAATAGCCGGCCGACCGTTCAGGGCGAACGTGCAAGGTTATTAGTTCAGTGCGCGGGTAACTGTAACCGCGCCGGAATGATGCGAGCGCAGCGCATTCTTGTTGGCACCGGCTTCGTGGGCGCCAGGCATCGGCATGTGCCCGGCAAACAAATGGTGATTTGTCGGCGAACGCTGGCATGATATCCCGCTGCGCGCTGCGCCAGGCCGCCCGCCAATATCCGGTGGCCCTTCCGAGGATGGGCGGAACAACTTTTGTTTCGAACGAACCGCGCCATCTCCGCGTGGAACCTCGTGCCATAACAAACTGGACGATGGTCTCCGTGGGCTCGATCGGGGGCGCCCGCGAGTTAGACTTGCCCAACGTGTCAGGAGCGGCATACTGAAACATTTGTAGGCAAGGAGTGGCCGCTGGGACCGAGCCCCTTCGGGAGGAGCAGCTCCAAGGCCTCTTTGTCGTAGAAGCCGTCAGCGTCGAGCAGCCCCATGCCCGAGGGCATGCCGGGGGTGCGCGCGAATGCCTTGCACAAGGCACCGTATAGCCTCGCACCGCGGCCGCCAAGTGCGGAGTTGACTCGTCTGACCAGCGCCGCACGACGGGCTCCCGCACGAGGGACCGAATCCTGCTGGACATGGAGGGCACACCAATGATGCGGTCGCCCTCGGTCTTCCAGGGGAGGAGTCTCCCCAAGGTCATCATCACTTGGTGGGGCCAGGCAGCGCCGGACTTCGATGCGGGAGGGGGAAGGGAAGGAAGAGGATTGGGGGAATGACAATCTAGGTGCGCTCGCGCCATACCCGCCATCCGATCCATCCCTCCCATCCCTTTCCGATTGCGCGGATTTTCCTCTATCCGCGGACGCGTGTTACAGTCGATTTGGAACAGACAGGCCCCGTCGTGTTTTGCGCACGCGGAAAAGATTTATTGCGCACATGGGGGGAGGAGTTGGCTTGTGAGCAGGAGGGCAACGAGGAGGATGAAGGAGGACGACGTGGACGAGCAGCAGCAGGAATTGGAGTGGAAGGGCTGGGAGGAGCAGGAGGACCAGAGGAAAACGGAGGAGGGGGGATGAGGGGGGCGACTACGATGAAAGAGGATTCGGATCCAGAAGAGTGGCCCGCGCTCGGACAAGAGCGCCCTTCCGAAAGACGGGAGCAAAGCGCCGATCCGAAGATGAGGCCCACGCTGCAACCAGCGCTCAGTTTTGAGATGCCGTCAACAGTGGAACCTTATCCAGGCAGAGGAAAAACAACCGTGTTTGAATTGTTGTGTGTAAGGGACCAGTGCGCGGAGAGGGCCAGAGATCTCCGGGACAGGGTCAGGGGAGAAAGTAGAGCAGTATCCATACTGTGTAATTGTGGAAAGAGGGAGGGAGGGAGGTGGGGGGAAGGATGCAGGAGGGAGTGAGAGAGAGCAGGAGGGGGTCGGCTTCATCGCCGCTGCAGGCGACGGCCGAGCAGATCCTGGCGCGGGGCGCGTTGCTGCATCGATACCACTTGGAGGCTGGCGTCCCCCGATGTCACTCCGCAGCGCAACCTTGATGTTGAATTGTGCAGCGGTCGTTGGTGGGGCTGCCTCCATGTAGTCAGACACGAAGCCGATCCATCCCATTGCTGTTTTGATTCCTGCCGCCATTTTTCCTGTCCGTGTCCCCATTTCTATTCCTATGTCCACTGCTGTTCCCCTGGGACCCAACGTCATCGTGACCAAACCACTACCTGAGCTCTTGAACCACCGTTCTGCGGCAATTTGCCGAGCCAGATCGATGCGTCAGGGCCCCGTGGGCCCGATCCAGGCGAAAACGCCCGGCATGAACACATGCACCACCTGGACCTCAGGGCCCTGTTCTTTTTCCCATCTCCATCCCATTCCGTGTGTGGCGACCCTTGCAGCAGCCTTGCTTTTCCCGAGCCACTCTTGCGATCGCCGGGTCTGCGACAGAACGTGTGCTGCGACCCTTCCGCCACCGCCCAGAAGGCCGTCACACGCATCGCTTCTCGTCTGCCACGCCTCAGGGTGCCAGGGGGCACCCTGGCCGTTCCCTCTGCCTCCCCCCCTCTCCCTCCGTGCGACCACCTGCGAGCCCTTCCACGACGGGTCCAACCGACGCCCGCCGGGGGATCGGACGCCCCCGCCAGGCTTCATTTTCAGGGGCAACGATAGAGGGGGACAGGCATAGGGGGGATGCATCGACCCCCAATCGCCCATTGATCGCCGATAGGGGCCCGATAGCCCCAACCTGCCCAGGAACGTGCGGATTGACTACTGGGGGCCTGTCGCCGATCTATCGGCGATGTATCGCCGATTCCATGTCGACGTTTTCCCCCCTATGCCAGTCGCCCCCTATCGTTGCGCCTCATCATTTGCCTGGCTGCAGACATCCTTCAACCTCGGACCCCCGGCCAGCGTTTCGGAGATCTCACCCGCAGGGGTACAGGAAGCGCCGGACGCCTCTTCCGCGAAGGCGTGGGCAGGGGGTGCACGCGCCGATAGGGCGGCGCTTCCCCTCCTCCTCCTCCTTCTTCTCCTCCTCTTCCTCTTCCTCTTCCTCTTCCTCCTCATCTTCCTCTTCCTCTTCCTCCTCCTCTTCCTCTTCCTCTTCTCCTCCGTTTCATCCTCCTCCTCCTCCTCCTTCTCCTCCTCCTCCTCCCCTCCCCCTCCCTCCCTTCTCCCTCCTCCCTCCTACCTCCCTCCTCCCTCCTCCCATCCCCTTCTTCCCTCCCTCCTCCCTCCTCCTCCTCGTCGTCGTCGCTCCTCCTCGTCCTCCTCCTCCTCCTCATCCCTCCTCCTCCTCTCCTCGTCCTCCTCCTCGTCGTCCTCCTCCTCTCTCCCTCCTCCTCGTCCCTCCTCCTCCTCCTTCTCCCTCCTCCCTCCTCCCTCCTCGTCCTCCTCGTCGTCCTCCTCCTCTCCCTCCTTCTCCTCATCCTCCTCCTCCTCCTCCTCCCTCCTCGTCCTCCTCCTCCTCCTCCCCCTCCTCCACTTCCCGCGGACTCGTCTGTCCACTCCTCGCCCGCATGCGGAGGCGTGGGACAGCGCGCTCCACGAGGGCGTGCCCGCCGACCACTGCCCCGGCAGGCGGCCGCGTCGGCCCCCGTCCCCCGCCTTCCCTCTCCCGCTCCTGGGGCCGCCAGAGACCCGTAGGCCGATCCACCCAGGGGCGTCGGGGAGGGAGCTCGAGGGCCGGGTGGGTGCGTGCGTGCGTGGGTTCGTTCGCGCGTGCGTGCGTGCGCGTGCGCGTGCGCGCGTGTGTGTGTGTGTGTGTGTGTGTGTGTGTGTGTGTGTGTGTGCGCGTGTGCGTGTGCGTGCGTGCGTGCGTGCGCGTGCGTGTTTGTGTGCGCTTGCGTGTGTGTGTGTGTGTGTGTGTGTGTGTGTGTGTGTGTGTGTGTGTATGTCTGTGTGTGTGTGTGTGTGTGTGTGTTTGAGCATGTGTGTGTGTGTGTGTGCGCGTGTGGATGTGCGCGTGTGCGTGTGTGCGTGTGTTCGAGACGGAGAGGTATCGATAACATGCTGGCGTTGGGAGCCCCTCAGCGCATCACTCCTTCGTGCCCGTCCGATGTCTCAACGGTAGTACTCTGATGGGCTCCCCGCGGCGGCGTATCATCGAATCCGATTTTGCTCCCCCATGCGTGTGAGAATCAAGGAGGGGGGGCTCACAATCTCCCAGACGTTATGGCACCCTCTTTTTCCAAAGAGTCCCATTGCCCCCCACATCGTCCGCGCACATACCTCGGGCCAAGCTGCGCTCAGCCCCCTATTCCTGGCTCCCCTCTTTTGCGCACCTGATCTATGTTCGGCTTCCTGGGGCTTCCACCGGGCCTCAGGACCCTCGACGAGCGACTCGGGATGAAACACTGGTCCTGGGGTATTGGTCCAGACCTCCTTGAGCCCACGTTGTGAAAATCATGACGCCAGATGTCAGGGATGGGCCTATCTAGAGGTATGTGTGTGTGTGTGTGTGTGTGTGTGGGATCGTGTTAGCGGGTGGGTTCGGCGCGTGTGTAGGGACTGGAACGGGCGGTCGACAGGGTGTTGAGTATTTGTGGAGGTTGCGGTGGGTCAGCCCTGACTGGGTATAAACCGATGAGGAGGATGGAGCACCTAGGATGGAATTGTTTCCCCCCTCCTGTGGACGGTGCTCCCCTGGACTGGGTCCTGGTAGACCCCAACCCTTACTTAGTTAAGCTTCTTGGCCCTATTCTACAGTCGATCTTGCTCCTGGGCCCTAGACTCCTGGTCCCTAGACTCCTGGTCCGAAGACTCCTGGTCCCTAGATTCTAGGTGCCTAGACTCCAGAATCCTTGATCCCAGCTGACGGTATTACCAGAATGTTGTTTGTGTCCCCCCTCTCTCGTTTTTGCTCTCTCCACATACTTCTTTTACACGCTCATGTGCGTGTCTATGGACATCTGGATCCCTCTATTGCGAAGGCCTTACGGCTGGTGCCACCGACCCTGAAGGGGAACGACGACAACGGCGACGGCGACGACGACGCTGACGTGGGTCAGAGTCCTCCCCTTGGGGCCTCTTGGGGCCTCTTGGGGGCCTCTTAGGGGCCTCTTGGGGGCCTCTTAGTTCCTTCGGGGGTTGCCTCTCGCGGCCGAGGGCTCGAAATATCCGTTCTGTTCCCTCGTCTGGGACCCCTCTCAGAGCTGTCTCTTGGGCCGTCTTGGGCAGTCCTGGGGCCCTCTTTCGCCGCTTCGGGCCCGCCCGGGACCCCCCCCCTTCTCCCGGCGGGGGATGGGTCAAAGGGACGGGGCTTTCCTTCCTTCGAGTCAGTTGCCGCGTTGCTCCGTTTCGCTCCGGCCGGCGCGCTCGAGGAGGAGGAGGCCCCAGGCAAGGGGGGGGGGGGGGGGCGGAGCGGCGGCGGGGTCCAGCGCTCGGGGAGGAGGGCCCACGGAGACGGGAGCAGCGGCGCCGGGCCCATGGAACGAGGGGGGCTGCAGGGAGAGGGGATGGCACGGACGACGACCTGCGAGTGACGGAGGCGACGGCTCGAGCGGTCGAGCCCCCCCCACACACGCCGACGGGATCGGCGGATTTCTGTGCAGCTCTCGCTCTCTCGTCTCGCCACCTCTCTCTCTCTCTATCTTCTCTCTCTATCTTCTCTCTCTCTCTCTCCCTCTCTCCCTCTCTCCCTCCCTCGCCCCCCCTGCTGTATGTATGTCTGTTCGCTTGTCTCTCGGAATGAATGGGGCGCCTCCACGGCTACGCTTCCAGGCGTCTGCTCGGTCGGCTCGCCAGAAAGGCGAGCTCCGTCGGTTTAGCTCCCTCTACAGGAGGAGTATTCAAACACAGTAGCGCAGAATCAGGGACGCTTTTCGACTAGCTTGCTAGTTTTTTTGAATCGTCTTGAGTATTTGCTATTTATTCTTGAGTATTTGCTATATTTCCCCACAAGATCTGCCCGTTGGGGGACATGCCCGACCTGAGTTCAGCTCGAGACTCTCCCGATGACCTCCCTCGCCCCGCCGGCTCTGGGCCCGCAAGCCCTCGAGGCCTCGAGAGGAGGGGAGAGCAGCTTCCACCCTGGCGTCTCGGGGGCTGCCTGGCGCCCGGGGGGCCCTCCTGCCGAGCGCTCTCCGCCCCCGACTCCCTGTGCCCAGCCGTTTCCCCGTCCCTCTCGGGCCGGACGAAAGGGGGGGACTGGGACAGGGGGGGCCACGAAGTCTGCTGCACGCAGCTGGCTTCGGCCCCACCGATGGGGCCCATTCCTCGATACATGGCCGCCTCCGGCGCCGGGAGGCGCCGGGAGAATCAGCTACGTGAGCTGATTCTCCCCCCCCCCTTTGCTATCCTCGGGGCTGGACAGAACCCCCAACAGTGACACGTCGATTAGTGAATTGTCCGTTTTCGGTTCTCGAGAGGGCGCCGTGGCCGTCATTTTCCAGGCCTGCGCCCGCCAGGTTTGGGCCCGAGGTCGTTTTCACTAAACCACGTCTTGCTAAAGGGGGGTTTGTCCATTCCCGTTCTTTGCTATCCCCCCCTTTCGCCCGACCCGACCCTCCCGCCTGCGTCGCCCCTCGCTCCAGCCGCGACGACGGAGCCTTCGAGGACCCGGATGGGCTGCTCGGGCTGAGCGCGACCCAGGAGAAGGACACTGCCGGGTGCGGGCGGCGCAGGGCGTGGGAGGAGGAGGTGGCGCAGGAGGAGGAGGAGGAGGTGGCGCAGGAGGAGGAGGAGGCGGAGGAGGTGGAGCAACATAGGGAACGAGCAGGAGGAGGAGGAGGAGGAGGAGGAGAGGAGGAGGAGGAGGAGGAGGAGGAGGAGGAGGAGGAGGAGGAGGAGTTGGCGCAGGAGGAGGAGGCGGAGGAGGCGGAGGAACATAGGAACGAGCAGGAGGAGGAGGAGGAGGAGGAGGAGGAGGAGGAGGAGGAGGAGGAGGAGGGGCAACAAACCAAGGGGCAAAAGGGGGAGCGGAAGCGACAGTGAAGCCCGGGCGTGCCAGAGCACCTCGGGCGTGTCTGCCCGAATTGCCGCGGGTGGCTGTAGTGCGCCGCTTGCAAATCTCTGTCTAGGGGTGACTCCAGGGTCCTCCTCCTCCTCCTCCTCCTGCTCCTTCTTATCCCCATCGCGCCCGCTGATTGCAGTCGTCTGCAGCTTCTCGGCCCGATAGCTGCCCCGCTCGCCCCCCACTCCCCTCCCCGCGCGCGCGCGGCCGGGGCGCCAGGGGCCCGCGGGGCCATCGCCGTTCAGGTTTCCTCGACACCTACGCGGCGATCGTCGGCTCCGGGTTCGCCACCCCGCGCTGGCCCAAGTCGGTCGGGCCGGCGCCTGTGGCCCGTACGACGAGAGCGAGCGTCGGGGCCGACCGTCCGTTCTGAGCGGTGGTCGGTCGGGCAGGCGCGCCTTTCGGCACCCTGCCTGCCGTGGCCACTGGGCCTTGCTAGCACCGTCGCTGCTCGCTCTTCGGCGGGCGGTGCGGACAGGGCCCATGCCACGTCCTGCCGTTGGCAGGTCTCTCCAGCCTGCACCAGTCTGGTGGTCTTCGGCGCTCTCCACGCCGACTTCGGCGCAAAACTCCTCTCCCTCCTCCTTCGCCTTCTCCCCCTTGGCCTTTGGGGCGGCGGAGCAGGAGGCCCATCTGAGGAGAGGAGTAGGAGGGGGGCCTCACACGCCGCAGCGCCACGCCTTGCGCCGTGGCGCAGCGCCAGCCCTCGTCTCGGGCGTTCAAAGTGCCGCCGCGCCTGGGGTCTCAGCCGCCGCTTCTACGCAAGACTTTCAGCCGCCGCGACAGAGACGCCCGACGGAGGGCACAGTGGCCAAAGGCGCTCCGACGCGCCGCCCAAGGGCTTCAGCCGCCGCGCAAGCCATGCCCGCCATTCCTGCTGCCAGCGAACCCAATGCCAGCGTGTTCAACGCCGAAGCACCAGAGGGGTGCCCTGCGAAGATAACTGCGCTCTTGGGAAGGGAAGTGGTGGACGAGGATCTCTCTTACCTCCCCCCAACTCCTTCTCCTTGCCTCTACTCCGCCACCTGGCTCACCTGTGCCGCTAGGCATGGCGACCACTTTGTGGGCCCCGCCTGCTCCACCGTGGGCGGGGGAGCGTCACTCGCGGGGCACGCGGGCTTTGCCGCCGCCTCGGTTTCCTGGCCTTCGGCTGGAGGCATCGCCGCGGCCACTTCTGCCGACGATGCTGCTCGGACCGCCGGGGGCGGATACATTCGCGCACCTCCAGGCTTGGACCCGCTGCCTCCTGGGCCTCCGGTCAGGCAGATTGGGCCGCCTCCGGGCCTTGACGTCTTGGAGGTTGGTTCCCAGAGGCTCAGTGCGGCATGCCCGCGCCGTGGCGCGGCTGCGGCTTGGAGCCCCACGGTCGTCTATCAGGTCCGACCTGGGGCCACGGCGTCAGAGGCCGCGCTTCCTCTACTGAGGACGCCGCCTCCGCCGCCACAGGGTCGCCCCTGGAGCGGTGCGTTGGCCCTGGTGGAGGCGGGGTGCTCCGTCGTCCCTCCTCGGGGTTCTTCGGCGGCCATGTCCGACTGCGGCCTTGACGGGGGTAGTCCCTCCTTTTCGAGGGCGGCGCCGCGGTGTGGCTCGAAAGGGGTTGGTATGCGCCCTGCCAGCGATGCTGATACGGCCCCGCAGGGAGGGGCTCGTACCGCCCCCCCAGCCGCCACCGCAGTCCACCAGCCTGGCACCCCGCCGCGGAGCGGCCCCAGGGCCACCTCGGCCTTACGCGCCGACCTCCACTTGTGGGACCTGCACACGGGCTCCGACACTCAGGGTGTGGATCCGCCGCCAGGCCTCTCCGGCTCCGAAGCAGGCTCACGGGTGCCGCCTTTGGTCGACCTCCGCGCGGCCCTTGCCTCGGATGGGGTGCAGCTGTTTAGCAGCGGGAGTATGCCGTGCACTGCGGCGTCGCCACTTCTGTCCGAGCGCTTCACGGTCGCCGACGGTGACCGCGCGGCCAGCGGAACACCCCTGAGCGCGGACTGGCATCGTGTCTCCGGGGATTCGCCCTCCCAGGCCAGGCATCTGAGGCCACCGTCCGGAGTTGCCGTCCCAGAAGCGGATGTTCATGCGCCGCCGCCGCTCCACCGTAGCGCGGTTGGTCCCGCCTCACTTCGGGCGGGCGCTGCCCGTGGGCGCATGTGGTATGGTGAGCGCGCAGGGCTCCTGCCTTTCACTAACCTCGAGGGCGGTGTCGGCGCGCCAGCTGCCGGAGGGCCACCTCCCCAGTCAAGCGCCCGGGGCGCTTGCACTTGTAACGCAGCGGGCACTCAAGCAGCGGAGTCAACTCCAGGCCTCGTCGGCTCCGCCGCGGGCTCCTCGGGTGAAGGCGTCGCCGCAGCCGCAGCCATTCCAGCGCGGCCCCGACGCCTCTCGTGCGATCGGATCCAGGGCCTCGCCGCGTCGATCCCTGCTCGCGCTCGCGAGCGCCTGCTGGCCGACCCTCGTGGTCTGAGCTCTTCTCCGTCACCACTGGTAGGCATGCGCCCTTCCAGCGATGCTGTTACGGCCCCGCAGGGAGGGGTTCGTGCCGCCGGTGGGAAGTCAGGAGCGGGCTCGTCCACGGCGGCCGCGACGCCCCGGGATGCGGTCCCTGCGTTCTGCTCTGTCCGAGGGGCCGCTTTCGCCACGGGCTCCTCGGGCGAATGCGCCGCCGCAGCCGTTGCCACTCCAGCGCGGCCCCGACGCCTCTCGTGCGATCGGATCCAGGGCCTCGCCGCGTCGATCCCTGCTCGCGCTCGCGAGCGCCTGCGGGCCGACCCTCGTGGTCTGAGCCCTTCTCCGTCCCCACTGGTCGGCATGCGCCCCTCCAGCGATGCTGTTACGGCCCCGCAGGGAGGGGTTCGTGCCGCCGGTGGGACGTCAGGAGCGGGCTCGTCCGCGGCGGCCGCGACTCCCCGGGATGCGGTCCCTGCGTTCCGCTCTGTCCGAGGGGCCGCTTTCGCCGCGGGCTCCTCGGATGAAGGCGTCGCCGCAGTCACTGCCACTCCAGCGCGGCCCCGACGCCGCTCGGCCTCCACCAACAGCGCTGCCGCACTCCCCGCCTTCAGGCTCCGACGAGTTCGTCGGGTCCGCACTCGGCGTGGAGGACGGCGGGGTCGTCGGGCCGTCGATGGTAGCTGCCGTGCCGCTCACGCTCCAGCCCATGCTGGTGCAGCTGCCTCGTCTTCGGACGCCCTTTCTGGTGCTTCAGAGGCCGCTTCTGGGGCCCCTGTCCAAGGGAGCCGCCGCTCGCGCTTCAATCGGAGCGTGCGCGAGGATGCGGCAGCAATGTTGCGCTTCGGAAGTGCACCGCCCGTTGTCGTGCCTCCTGCGGCTGGAGCCCCGCCACGGTTTTCAGCTTCAGCCGAAGCTGCGGGGGCCCCGTCGGTAGGCATGTGCTCTGCCGGCGATGCTGGTGCGGCCCCGCAGGAAGGGGCTCGTGCCGCCGACGGGGTCACCGCGGAGGGGGGTGCACGCGCCGCCCAGGCCAGCGGCTACCAAGGCGGAGCCCCCGACGAGCCTCCTCGGCTCCAAGCTGTCGGTGGCCCTGCCCTGGACCAAGAGGGCTCCGGGCAGCCCCGAGCCGGCCCCGCCGACCACGGTGCCTCTTACCCCCAATCTGTTGGAGCCGCCCACGTCGGGCGGGTCGAACGGGGTGCTGGATGTGCTCGGCCGCCGCCGCCGGGGAGGTCTCATCCCGCGGCCGCCGCCCGCCGCTTCTGGACCGAGCGAGGTCGCGATGGTAGGGATGCGCAGGTGCAGCGCGGCTGTTTCGGCGCCGCTGGGCCCCGTGCGTGCCGCCATGGTGAGTCTCGCTCGCTCCCAGGCGCTTCCCCCGCTCCTCCTGGCCATCCTGGTCCCAGCGTGGGCGTCGGGGCGCGCCCTGCGCCCTTCGCGCCTTGCCCTTTTCCCAGCACATCCCGTACCAGCACTGGCACTGGCAGGTCTGCGCCTTTCGTGGCCGATCTGTCCGCCTTGCTGCGCCTGTTTCCAGGCGCCAGCATCGACGTCACCCACTGGGCCGCTGCTCTTGCCCAGGTCGGGATGGGGACTCGATGCTCCCTTGCCGCTTTTACCCGCACATCTTTCTGCGCGCTGGAATGGGGCGACTCGTACTTGTTGGGGTCGGCTCCCCGCGATCCTTGGCCGTGCCCTCCCTCGCCGCCTCTTCCGCCGCCACCTGGTCACCTTACGGGTCGCGCGCGGGAGCGCTGGCGTGTGAGGCGCGCCGCCGCCGCCCGCACGTTGTCGCAGCATGCTGTCGTTGCGCTCAACTGGCTCACCTTGGGTCATCCCAGCTTCACTCCCGCCGAAGCTCGGGTGCGGGAAACGGTCACACCCTGCCAGGAGGGAGTTCGCAGTCGCCTCGAGCGTCTGTGTCGGATCGCAGATCGCCTTGCCCGTGGTGGCAAGAGCGACCTTGGTCGGGCTTTCGCCAAGTTCGACTCCACCGAAGTCTCGCTCCATGGCCTGGCTACCCATGTTGCAGCTCTTGAGGCTTCGTTCACCTCTTCCTCACAAGAGCCCGCCCCCATGCGGCAACTCCCCGTCAGCGCGACGCCCCTGGCAAGCTCGTTGGCGGCCGCGGCAGGCTGGGACTCCACCCAGGCTGAGCCTTTCGACCTTCGGGTCCAGGCGTCCCGCATCAAGTGGGATTACT